TGTATATTTGAAAAACAATAAATATAACTAATTTTTTGTGCCTAAACCTTAATTATACAACTGCTATTATTTTTTAATTAATAAATAATACAGTAATATTTAAATATTTTTAAATTTTTTACGTATAGTAAACAGCCAGGAGATGTCGTTACTTGTGACCATTCTTAAACAAGAGTAGGAATATTCTCGCACAGTATTGCAGAAAAACATCCTTTCTATAATCAAAAATTACACTAGAATGTTACTATTCTTAAGTAGTCGTAGAGAAAATGTTTTTTCTACCCCACCTTTAAAACTTCAAAGTTAAGTTTTGTCGACTACTAGGGTTAATAATTAATAAATATTTATTTGAGACGTTTTTATTTATAATAAATACAGCAAATTTGATGTAAACAATTTTATTTACTAACAATATATTCTGAAATTTAATTTTTTTTTTATAAAAAAAATATTTATTTGGTCGAATTTATTTATTAATATACTAAATTTGTGTCAAATAAAATCGTTTATTAATTTATTGTAAATAAACGTTATATTCGTATTTAGTTCACAGTTTATTAATAATAAATATTGTTTATTAATAGTTGCAAATTTTCATTTCGTAAATAATGATTATTATAAATAAGTCACATTTTCTAGGTTAAATCATATTGTTTGTAAGAAATATGATATATTAATAATTAACAAATGGAATATCGTAACTCGTCGTTTTACCTCGGACGATTCACTTCACTTTAAAATGTCACGTAGTGGGTGGTTTACATCTTTGCTGATAAAGGTGGTGGTGGTTTGTGCTCTATTTGTGCTTTTGCATAATTTTTCATATACTAAAGAAATTTGTATTGCTTATAAACTGTTGCAGTGATTGTGTAAGCACATAATAATACTTTTCTATGGTGTTGAATGCTAACAAAACAAAAATAGGTCCTTAAATATGGATGCTGACATGGACATAATAGATTCTAAACTGTTATAAAATCAACATCAATTTCGTAAATTGACTATAAACTTGATATAATAAATAGATTCGAATAAAATTGCTTTTAGAACGAAAGAAAAACGTTTTACAATAATATTGAACAAAAAAGTTATAGTAAAGTAAAATGGCGTATATCAAACTTGATACATACATACATATGAGTGATTCTACAAAAGTTGGGCAACAGTATTTTGTTATGAGAACATAAATAATATAATAAATATACTGTTCCAGACCGGGCCAGTCACTTTTTCAAACAGTTTCTGAAACATCGGTTTTCTAAATTTGAATGTAAGGGAAGTGACGAGTATACCAGGGTACTAATTAAATACATAATTTATTGTAAAAAATAATATTTATTGCAACTTTGAGCATATTATACATTAAATATCTTAAAATCAAATAATACAACACATCAGTGGCGGCTGGTGGATTTTGGGTATACCGATATCTCAATTATTAGATATGGGACCCACACCAAATTTATATGAGTTTATAATGACATTAAATAAACAAGTTCTGCGCAAGCAGAATTTAAATTGAAGTTTGCGAAAAAAAGATAAACGAAACATCGAACATGCATGGAACTGACGACACGGTACTGATGAATGGGATACAAATTTAAGATTATAATTTGGAATTAAGTATTTCACTAATATTTTTTATTAGTGGATGCTACTTATCAACAAATCCCATATAGCTTTATATAAATTACAATGAAATATATATACGTAAGAAAATAACTACTCACCACAGTACTGACATTTTGACTGGAACTATACGTGCATTCACCACAACTTCGCCGGTTGCATTGTTTTCAAGATTACTGTCGTGCAAAGGGCGGGCTCTGTAGGTAATTTTTTATTAACACTTGAGTTAAAACGAGGACTTGACGTTTTAATTTTAACATTGGACACAGAACTGACGGGTAAAAGTGAGTACAAAGATTATCAATTTTTTTTTTAATTGCTATTATTCGAATCTATGATAAAATATGAAAAATACATTATTTAATGTTTTATAGTTTGTAGTGAAATTGAAAAATTTAAGATAAATTGAATATATTTTAAAATAAAATCACTTAAATATTTGATTCAGGAGTTGTGACACGCCAAGGTACTGATGTTTTGAATATTTATTATGTTTTTCTACCAACGTGCTTTTGAAAAATTACATTAAAATTGGGTGGACAAGTTAAAAAAACCTGGATCTTTTGTAATAGGTATACTAAAATATTTACAAAAAAAATTAATATACATACTCTATTGACTGATGACATCAAGTTGTCCAACTTTTGTAAAATCACCATATACTATTTTTTGGTTTATTCTTTAGCTCTATAGCTCGCCAAAAATGTTGAACCACTCTAATTTTGGAAAATCCCAGTATCTATTATACAATTAGTACCTAAAATATAAATTATCTCACCATTCCAAGCAATTTTTTCTCCATCAGTATGTAATTAACAAAAATATTTACAAGAACATTTTTGGACGTTAAAAGAATGATGAGTATTTAAGATAAAACAAATTACATTTTAATTGGATGGTACGAAATTTTCAACGCTCTTGCGTATGTGATTCATCTAAGTATGTAATTAGTAAACCATCATATATACGTTTAAGTATCCATTACTAATTTCCAGAATTTATGATTGGGTTTAAAAGTTTAACTGTATTGTTTTTAATTCAAAGCATTCTTTCAGTTTTTTTTTTATTTAAATATATGGGTGATTCTACAAAAGTTGGGCAACTTATGACCTCATCTTGTTTATATAGTTTTCGGAGAAAATTAAACAGTATTTTGTTATGAAAACATAGATAATATAATAAATATACTGTTCCAGACCGGGCCAGTCACTTTTTCAAACAGTTTCTGAAATATCTGTGTTTTCTAAATTTGAATAAAAGGGAAGTGACGAGTATACCAGGGTACTAATTAAATATATAATTTATTGGAAAATATAAGATTTATTGCAACTTTGAGCATATTATTCATTAAATATCTTAAAATCAAATAATACCACCACACATCAGTGGCGGCTGGTGGATTTTGGGTATACCGATATCTCAATTATTAGATATGGGACCCACACCAAATTTATATGAGTTTATAATGACATTAAATAAACAAGTTCTGTGCAAGCAGAATTTAAATTGAACTTTGCGAAAAAAAGGTAACCGAAACATCGAACATGGAACTGACGACACGGTACTGATGAATGGGATTCAAATTTGAGATTATAATTCGGAATTAAGTATTTTACTGATATTTTTTATTAGTGGATGCTACTTATTAACAAATCACATATAGCCTTATATAAATTACAATGAAATATATACGTAAGACAATACAATTCATTAATATTAGAACCAATAAAATGCCAGTATTCCATAGTTACGCATTTTATCCCAGCGGCAATATTTTTTATCACCTTGTTTACACGTTGCTAAGGATTTTGACACTTTTCTTGGTTTGACATTTGTTGACATTTAAATACTGTGTTTGTTAAATGATAAAAATAATGAATTATAATCTCTAAAAGATCGATGGGTTGGTGTAAACGATAATAAAATTAAGGTAAGTTTGAATAAATAAGGTTTATTAAAGTCTTTTTATATTTTAAAGCAAATTTTAATTTTAAATGTCAAACTGACAATTCGTTAAATCCTAAAATTCATTATATTTTCTCATTAAATATAACTCGTGGTATGATTAATTATCGATAATATTTACTCATTGAAACCGAAGCAGCACATTTCACTCGTCCTGCGGACTCGTGAAATCTGCAGCTCGGTTTCAATTCGAAAATATCATCGATGATAATCATACCACTTGTTATATTATGGGTGAATATAACTACTCACCACAGTACTGAAATTTTGACTGGAACTATACGTGCATTCACCACAACTTCGCCGCTTGCATTGTTTTCAAGATGACTGTCGTGCAAAGGGCGGGCTCTGTAGGAAATTTTTACCAACACTTGAGTTAAAACGAGGACTTGACGTTTAAACTTTAATATTTCGCAGAAATTTTGAATTTTAACATTGGACACAGAACTGACGGGTAAAAGTGAGTACAAAGATTATCAATTTTATAAAAATTTCTATTATTCGAATCTATGATAAAATATGAAGAATACATTATTTAATGTTTTATAGTTTGAAGTGAAATTGAAAAATTTAAGATAAATTGAATATATTTTAAAATAAAATCACTCAAATATTTGATTCAGGAGTTGTGACACGCCAAGGTACTGATGTTTTGAATATTTATTATGTTTTTCTACAAACGTGCTTTTGAAAAAATACATTAAAATTGGGTGGACAAGTTAAAAAAAACTCGTTCTTTTGTAATATACTAAAATATTTACAAAAAATATTAAAATACCTACTCTATTGACTGATGACATCAAGTTGTCCAACTTTTGTAGAATCACCCATATGGTGATCCAGCCCGTAGTTTATGAGTAAATCAAATTACAATATGCATCATTGTATTATGATTCAAAAATACAATTACTTTTATACAAAGTACTTTTTACGTATAACTTGCTGTAAATGCAAAAATACTGTATCTATTCAAGTTATTGGAAATTTAAAAAAGACTAAATTTCCATTTATTTTAATGGAATTATTTTTTAAATATCGGGTTCGTTTAATTAATAAATTAATTAATTAATTTGACACATTGTCTTACCTCCCTAGATAAGTGCTTATATTAGCATAGTATGTGCAACAATCCTAGGTTAGATCATAATTAATTTTATATTTCTCGTTAATAAGATCTACTATTTTCATTAAAACAATTAATTTTATTAATGTTATTAGAACAACCAATCCATTAATAATAACGTACTCTAGTATAGTATCCTTTGTCAATACATACACATTAGTTTATTATTAGCAATTACAAAGGAATTACTGAAACATTTGTAAATAGAAAATTAATCATAACGGTCGATTTGACTGCTACAGGATACGTTTAATTTATTTTTATTTATTAACAAGGCAATGGTTTAATTAATATGTTTATTGGTAGCTAGTGTTAATAGTTACAATACAATACTATAAAAATAAAAAGCAGGAAATAATTTTAATTTCTTACATCATAAACAACATACAGTACAACATCATTTAGGTCTACTTTTTAGGACTGATAGTCGCTATTTTATTTGGCATTAGTATTGACCCATTTGGTATCACAAATTGAAAGATTAGTGTCACTTAATTATGAAAAACGATTTATGACGATTCTTGAAGACGTGTGCAATCAACGATCAAAAAACTACAATCTATAAAACCTAATTAAAAATAAATAATTTATCGAGAAATAGCAGCTAGTCGGTTGTGTCTGGAGTTTTAATTAACGGCAGCGAAGTGGGCAGAATGGGTATCTCGAAGGTTTTGTTAAAATTAAAAACAATGTTCACCTCTCTGGGCCTGTCTTCGCAAATAATGGCTGGATAAAGAATCTGGATGTTGTTCCTTTCGACGTATTCGCGAACTTTTTTCAAACATGCACATTCGAAGTAAGGGTTTTCCAGGAACGCCAGAACGTCCAGCTTGCTCTCGAACAGTTTGTCAGGAAAGCATCTTAACTTGTTGGTGCTTACCTCCACACTTTTAATGGTTCTGTTCGCGAAGATGTTGTCGGGTATCTCCGACAGCTTGTTTCCGTTCAATCGGAAGATATCGACTGCATTGTGGCCCTCCAAAGCCTTAGCGTTGATCTGGAATATTCGGTTTGCCGAAAAACGCAGCTTCAACGGTCGCTCCTTCGCCATGTTCTTGAAGGCCTCGGCTGGGATGTCCGTGATCTCGTTGTAGATTATGCTTAGTTGATACACATTGGGGCTGTTCTTGAACCATTCCGATTCAATCTCCTTGATGGCGTTGTAGTTCAGCTTCACGATCTCCAAGTAGGTGTTGTTGTCGAACGCGTCTTCGTCGATGGCGGATATGAAGTTCCTCGAGAGATCCAACTCTTTGACTTTGATGTGGTTGAAGACGCCTTTGCCGACCCTATTCAGCGGGTTGTGGCTGATTTTCAGCAGCGTTAAAGTGGGGGTTACGTTGAAGGACCCCGGCTGGATGATCTGGATGCTGCTGTTGATGATCTGCAACACCGACAGCTCGTTCCTGATGAAGACGTTGTTCTGGCACAGCCTGGGGATGCTCTGATTGGCTACGATGATGTGGAAAGCGTCTTTCCCCAGTTCAATGGTGTCCGACGTCTTGATAACTTCCGGTACGCTGTCGACGGTCTGGTACACCGTGATGTTGATCTGCTGGATGGCCTCGCAGCCGGTTTCGGCCCCGGTTTCGGCCGCCAACGCGCAAAAAACTACCACGACGACGGCCGCGCAGAGTCTCGGTTTGCTCATGTTGAACGTACAAACAATCTGCTTGGTGTGTTTCTGCTCGGCTATCCTACTGGATATGCAAAGGTCAACTTTTTTGATAACCCCGGCACTGTCGATAATCTCGATGTATTTTCGGAGCGCGCACATAGGGGCTACTTCTTTCGTTTTAATATTGTGCTAACACTAATTTCATTATTTTCACCTGAACTCTTTTTTTCGGTTGGACACTCCCGTTTGTAGTAAACTGCTCGACTGTACGGTGAAATGAAGTACGTGATCGAATTTTATCCGGAAAACGCTGAGCGTAGATATTAACTGCATCATCCAGATTTCTGCCTGCTTCTCCATAAATCAAAATCATTTCTATTTTTTCTTCCACAGTTAAAAAATCCATTATGAATAACTGCTTAACGAAAGGAGGTCTTTTTGTTTGCAAATTTTTACCTTTAATGAGGTATTTTAATTAAAAATAGTACAATTATTCTTTAAATAAAAGGATTTAATGCTTGCAGGTAAAAAATGACCATGGCGCGCAATTGATAATTATCACCGAATGAAATAATGTATAAAACTTAAACCAAAGGAAACTTAAATATTAGTTAAAATCGTGGGTACTTAAAAAAATCATATTTAATTTAATAAGATAATTATTACCAAAAAAAGTGATATTTTTATAGAAAAATTATTGCAGAATCGTATACAGAAGAAAAATCGAACAAAATTGATTTTTTCACATACTTCCACACATATACGTGGGGGTAAAGTAGGGGAAATGTTCTCACAGGGTAGCGGGCATTGAGGCGCATGCGTCAGCTGCATTGCCGGTTTGGTTGTTGAGTTTGAGTACATTTCTATAAAACGCGCATCTCTAGGAGCCAGGGAGCCAAGATAATTCGGTGCATAACCGTAACTTTATCTACAGAGGCGCCTCTGTACATATACACTTCGATTTTAATCATACATTTTAATTTTCGATATTTTTAAATCGATATTTTAATTTTCGAAATTTTAATTATTCGACATTTTCAAATCGACATTTTAATTTTCGATATTATCATTTTCGACATTTTAATTTTCGAAATTTTAATTATTCGACATTTTCAAATCGACATTTTAATTTTCGATATTATTGTAGCGAGTACCGCTCTGGATATCGGAGTGATGACTCATCGCCGGTTAGTCATCGCCGATGAGTCATCGCCGGTGACTCAGCGCTCGAACAATCGAGAGTGTGGAGCTCGCTGGAATGTTCCAGAAGACCTTGGCGCTGAATATATAAGAAACGGAGCAGCACACGGGAGTCAGTTAAGCTTTGGTACGCGCGAAGAAATAAATAAATATAAGTGCAAATAAATAAACTAGTAGTGATATAAATAATTAGTAGTTAAGTGTTTAGTTAGTTTTATAGTGTTTTAAGTGTAGTTAAGTTATTAAATAAATAGTTTAGTTCGTTAATTAACCAGTGCGTGTTTTAATTCACACTACGAACAGTAAAAACGTTACAATTGGTGTCAGGAGTGCGGTTAGTGTGAAACTTCGCGAAAATGGTTTCGTTAATGGACTTAAAAGTGGCGGACCTTAAGCGGGAGCTGGAAGAAAGGGAATGTGAAACAACTGGAAAAAAGAATGTGTTGCAGCAGCGGTTTCGAGAAGCGTTGGAACAAGAGGGTGAAAATCCAGATACGTATTTATTTGAAGGTTCGTGTGATATGCATTTAATGTTGCAAAATTTAAACGATTTAAAACAGAAAATGCTAGAAAATTCTAAAGAACTAAAAGTCGATTTGCAACAGAAAATGTTGGAAAATTCTAACGAGTTACAACAGAAAATGTTAGAAAATGTCAACGATTTAAAGGATGATTTGCAACAGAAAATGGTGGAAAATTCTAGCGATTTGAAAATCGATTTACAACAGAAGATTCTGGAAAATGTCAACGAGTTAAAGGACGATTTGCAACAGAAAATGCTAGAAAATTCTAAAAACCTAAAAGAATATTTGGAAGGGAAGATTCTAGAAAATGTCAATGAATTAGAAGAGAAAGTTGACGATGTAAGGATGGAATTAAATAACGTAAGGATGGAATTGGATACGAGAGAAGAAAAATTGAACGAGAAATTGGAGGTCAAAATTAGAGAAATAAATAGTAAACTGAAAGCTGTAAATTTACCTATGATGCTGACGGAACCAGGAGTATTGCAGGAGGGAAGCCGAGTACGGATGAAACCACCTCAGTTCGATGGAAAAACTTCTTGGACCAACTACATCCGTCAGTTTGAGGCAGCAGCAAAAGCAAATGGCTGGCTACCGGAAGAAAAAGCTACAGCATTGACTCTGGCTTTACGCGGAGATGCAACGGACATCTTGCAGACGCTTTCTCCCAACGAACAAGAAGATTACGAAGCGTTGGTGAAACATCTGGAACTTCGATATGGCCAGACACATTTGGAACATGTCTACCATTCCCAACTTAAGAACCGCTGCCAGAAATCAAACGAGACTGCAAGAATTCGAGGCTGATATTGCACGCTTGGTCCGGCTAGCATATCCAGCTACTCCAACGACCGTTATGGAACGATTAGCGGTTCAAGCCTTTTTGGATGGACTTCGAGACAACGAAACAAGACAGGCTCTAACACTGGCTCGTCCGAGCCAACTGGTTGATGCATTAGCTCGAGCTTTGGAATTCGAGGCGGCAAAGCAGAGCTGTAGGAGCCAGCCTAGAATAAGGAGAGTCGAAGAAGAAAAGGAGGAGGAACCTAGTATAATTGAAGCAATCAGACGAGTCCTTAAAGAGAATCTACCAGAAAAGAAGGAAATCCGGTGTTGGAGATGTGGAAAGCTCGGACATATACGAAGTCATTGCAGAAAAAGCCAGGAGGTGCCGACTTCATCTCAGTCGGAAAACTAGATAGGGTCGAGGAAAAGGGGCAACCGTCGACCTGTAACCAACATGCCCCAGAGGATATCGAACGTGTCGCATCTCTTCTACATCAGTCCAGCAGTGTTTTTGTGGATGGCTTTATTAATGGAAAGTTACATGTGCTGCTGCTGGATACAGGTGCGACGAAGACAATTATTCGGCCAGATATTGTCGAAAAGTCGAAAATAAAATCTACCAATCGGCGACTACGTACTGCAACAGGAGATACTGCTACTGTTCATGGAGAAGTGGACATCACTATGGTCATAGGAAACACGAAATTTAAACATCGAGCATTAGTAGCAGATATTGAAGATGAAGTTATTGTAGGCATGGACATTATGAACTCTATAGGATTTGAACTAAACTTTCAACAAGGAATATTGAGAGTAAATGGAGAAGAAGTCGTGTTGCATCGATCAAAAGAAAAGAATATTCGTGTAATGCTAACAGAAGATGCTTTGATACCGGAACACAGCGAGATGATATTGAAGGCTTTCTTGGATTGTAAATCAGAAGATGGAAGTATAATGCTTCTGGAGCCGAAAATTGATGACAAAGAGGTCGGTCGAGGAGTTGTAGTAGGGAAGACTTTAATACGTGTCGGAAAAGAAGTGCCTGTAAGAGTATTGAATGTTAATGGTTACTCTGTGAACTTGAAAAAAGGAATCGTTTTGGGGAACTGTTCCTCAGTTTCCTCAATTATTAGAAGCATTCGTGAGTCTGGAGTTCCGGCCAAGAAAATTAGCAATGAATTGACGACTCTGCTTTCGAATTCTTCAAAGGACTTAAAACCAAATGAGAGAATAAAGCTGAAAGAGCTGATACACAATTATCAGGATGTCTTTGACGACGGACAAGGAAAGAAGGGTAGGACAAGAATTGTCCAGCATAAAATTAACACCGGTGATGCACAGCCCATTCGACAGTCGGCAAGAAGGCTACCACTTGCCAAGCGAGAGGAAGCTGATAAAATTGTGCAAGAAATGGAGAAGGAAGGGGTGATCGAACCATCCAACAGCCCATGGTCTTCCCCAGTGGTGTTAGTTAAGAAAAAGGATGGATCAACTCGATTTTGCGTCGATTTTCGTCAGCTGAACAACGTGACGAAGAAGGACAGCTACCCTCTACCTAGGATCGATGACACCCTGGATACATTGGCTGGATCCCAAATATTTTCGACTCTGGATTTGAAAAGCGGTTACTGGCAGGTTGAAATGGCACCAGAAGATAGAGAAAAGACGGCGTTTACCGTGGGTGCTGGACTGTGGCAGTTTACTGTCATGCCGTTTGGACTATGTAATGCCCCTGCAACTTTTGAAAGGCTCATGGAAATGGTTTTAAAGGGACTATCCTGGAAGACATGCTTGGTGTACCTTGACGACATCATTGTGGTTGGGAAATCATTTGAGGACCATATGAAGAACCTGAAGGAAGTCTTTCAGCGCTTAAGAAGTTCCGGCCTGAAGCTAAGCCCGAAGAAATGTCACTTGTTCCAGAGGGAAGTGCAGTATTTGGGCCATGTTGTTTCGAGTCAAGGAGTGGCAGTGGACAAACAGAAGGTGAAGACGGTGCGGGAATGGCCAGTACCGAAAAACAAACATGACTTAAGAAGCTTTCTTGGATTATGCACCTACTACCGGCGGTACGTACCTGGATTCGCAAAGGTTGCTAAGCCTTTGACACGTTTAACAGAGGGAGAAAGACGATTCCAATGGGACGAAGAATGCCAAGAAGCCTTTAAGAACCTGAAAAACGCGTTGACCAGCTCACCAGTCTTAAGTTATCCTCTTCCGGATGGTGAATTTATTTTGGACACGGACGCAAGTAATGTGGGCCTGGGAGCTGTTTTGTCGCAGATTCAAGCGGGAAAGGAGAAAGTTATTGGATACTTCAGTAAAACTTTATCCAAACCAGAACGAAATTACTGTGTTACTCGACGCGAGCTGTTGGCAGTGGTAAAGGCAGTCGAACACTTTTACAAGTACCTGTATGGAAGAAAATTCTTGCTAAGAACGGATCATGCTGCCCTAAAATGGCTTTTGCAATTCAAGAATCCTGAAGGACAGGTAGCAAGATGGATTGAGAGACTACAGGAGTTCGACTTTGACACAGAACATCGGGCTGGGACCATCCATAGAAATGCTGACGCCTTGTCAAGAAGACCGTGCCCGGAAGACTGTAAACATTGTCTCAGGGCCGAAGAAAAGGATGTGTTTGTTCGC